ACGTCTCCCAATGCTTCATTTTCAACAATGTTTTCCATCCTGGGCTGCAAGAAATTTTGCAACATTGCAGCATAGCATTCGGAATTCACTGTCACGGTTACTCCCTCCTCTAAGAACGACTCCAACAGTGTGTGGCAGCTAATGGCCCCCATCTTCCAGAAATTGTTATCAAAACATAAGTATTCTAAATAGTGTGCTATGCTAACCTCTCGGAAAATAAACTTTCTTCTTTGTGTACCTCCATTGCTCTTTTATTTTGTCTCAAAACTGCTCAATCAGTTCTGCCCCACCCTGTATATTGAGAGGTTGAGATTGTATTGACCTTTTAGGCAATTAGAAAAATTTTCCACCCTAATACGAGTATTCTAATTAAAATATTTCATTTCAATCTTTAAATATGTGAATTTGAAATTAGAAACAAAACAATTACAATTATAAAACTATATATAATAATTAAATGCAGTGAATGGAAATAAAATGTTTGAATTGTGCACATGTTTATTTCAAACAGTGTTAGCTTTTCTCATAACTCCAATCTCGTTTCAAGTCGTTTGAGGTTTGTTTGGTTATCGTTCAGTTTATGTTTAGTATTGGTTTATTGGTTTGAATTAAATGGGAACAGTGCAGTCAGTCACTCAGTCACTACTAGTCGGTGTGTATAGAGGGTAGAGTCTGAAAATGGTCAATATTTAGCTCATTACCTTGCTCCATACAAACTTTACAAAGCTAATGAATAGACTTATCAGTAATTGTTTCCCAAAAAACCCCACCTTGGCCTGTTGGCCATTATTGAAGGCATTAATTGCCCATTTTAGCCATCCATTATGATCCATATACTGTTTTTGTTAGTAGGCTAATTGCAACATAAAAAATAACTTTTTAAAACAAAAAACTGAAAAAATAAAAAATCAAAAAAATCGAAAAAATCGTGAAAAAATAAAAAAAAGTCATTGATTTTTTATTTTTTTTATTAAAAAAAATCAAAAAAATCACCAACCCTGGGTGAAATCGTAGTTGGTTTATTCGAATCTGAGCAAATGCCAGCGCATTGTCAGACGTCTATGTTACCCATGAGTAATTTTCTACCTACAGTTTAGTTTTATGCACAAGAATTACCATGAACTTACATTTAATCGAGTGCACTTGTCTTACGTCAAATTTATGTGAAAGCTCCCCATATTCCACGAGGGCGAGAGAGTATACTAGGAAAGCATAGGTCAGGTTTGCGAAGTCATGATAAAGTTGCTAGAAAGCAATTAGTAATGGGTGAATCATATGCTTTGCAGTGAATACTTTTTAATATTTTGCGTTCTCATTGGATTGTTGAACTCAATTCAACATTTGGCGGTGAGTTTATCTATGATACTAATGCAAAAGTTTATTGGCGTCTTTTGTAATTATTTTGTCCAACTTTAGCTGACTTTTTGCTAATTACACTGTTTATTTACGGTCATGATATGAATGAGAATGTCAGTATGAATATCAAGCCAAGTTTGATACATTATTTTGGACAGCACTTGATCGCCATTCAAGTGTTTATCAAGCGGTATAAAATCTGTTCAAACTTCTACCCATCACGTACTCGCATTTAGATGAAGCATTCATGTGGTGCGCATTCATTTCGAAGTTTGTTTCCCCCGACTTGTGTAGCCTTCTTCTGGTAGTGAAATATCGTCAAAGTTACTGAAAAATTTTGGCTTTTGTAGGGACTTTGAGTTATTTTTTCTTCAAGTTCTTCGGATTTTATTTTGAATTTTGTTCCGAACATAACTTCGAAATTTCGGACTTTCCTCTGAAGCTCTGGCAAGATTATAATGTTTTAATTACAGGATGTTGATTTTCAAATCTACTGCCAGCTAACATTCAGATATCGACAGGAAAATCACTGTCAGAAAAGACTAAATCTGTTTCATTAATTAGGAAAAGAGAAAATCACATATTAGTTCATTATTAGTTTTGACTTTTGACCTATTAGTAAGTTAGTATTAGTTCATTCGACGTATTGCTGGTTTCTCCTCTGAAATTGTATCTTATTTAAAGCTAATATGTTGAAGAGCGTTAGCGAGTTTATGTTTTTCGTTACAGAATTTTTTCAAGACATGAGCTATTTAAGATGACGCGCAATTCTGTATTGCTTTAATAATAAGTTTCACAATAACCATGCTGTTTGTTGAACTACAGTTAGTAAATTACAGTTAAATTATAATTGCAGTTGAATTACTGTTACAAGTTCAGGGTTTTCGTTGACCATTCCCTCTTCTTTAGCTCTTCACAATTACTCAAGCAGGCCTATATATATCCCACGTAATGATCAAATAGTTTATTTTCTTTAATGTCTCTTCATGCCGTCATGTGCTTAATCAAAAGAGGTGGATTTTCCAGAATCCATTCGTTTTTTATCCAAAAAACTTTATTCATTTCTAAAATAATGCAAAGCAAGCAATTATTTAAAAATGAAATCCATATCACATAATATGCAATTTTTGCTTCATCACAAGATTTTTGTGGTTTTGCTCCATTATCGTAAAACATACCGCAACCTGGTCACTTTTTTGTGGCTCTTTCACTCGTCCGGTGCCGCTGTTTCCGCGGCGCCGGTCGCATTGTTCACAGTAACGCGAATTTCCGCGCGACGACCGTTCAATGTTGCCACCCGAGCTGACGACTCGCACGTCGTACGCAGTCCTCAGATGCACAATGAGGTTATTGTTGACGACGTTCATCTGACGACGTTAAGGTTATTGTTGACGACGTTCATCTGCTCTGCTTGTGTGTCTCCCTGCTATTCTCTACGGATTAATTTACATTGTTTCTTAATCTGAATTAACCGTGCAATTTATTTATGGGAGTGCAGTGAATGTGAGGTTGGTTTTGTGTTCCAAGATTTGAGAGGCATGAGTTTTGTACGAGTTTTCAGGTGACACTAAATTACGCTTTCTATGCACTAATGAAATTAAGATATTCATTATAGTGTGACGTGGAATTTTTCGTAACAAATATGACAAAGAATTTACATGCTCAGTAACTAAACAGTATACATAAAGTATCGCCTTTGAACTCGTTACTTGCTTGCCGTAGAATAATTTCGTGCTCGTCCATTAACGAAAAAATGTCCTTTTTATCTTTTTACTCGAAAATGTTACATAATTGAGTACGAAGTTCATAGTTGCCTTCATGAATGCTTATTTGTCGTACATTTTCTGCATCTTAGTATTTTCTCGCATCATCTAAACGAAAAATTTCTTACTCCGCGCAGTCAACCACGATGATACAGAGCAAGTTTTGTTGCAGTTGTTATGAACTTATGAGTAAATACTTGTCAGCGTTAATTAGACAAAATGTGTACTGCTTGTGTTTTTTTCTTGTTGTTTTATTTTTTATTCTCAACCGTTGTTCAAAGAACTTATAAATTTTATTTAATTAATTAATTGGGAGTTATTCGGCCTTTGTTTGTTTGATTTTGCATATTTCATCTCTCTTAACTCTTATTTTTAGACAAGCTTGCCAGGGATAATTTGGCGTAAAATTGATCAGTCTGTATTCGAATTTATGACAAATGTGCCATGATGAATGTAGAACTTATGGATATATACACGTTTTTCGTTGAAATTTGTGTTTTCCGTTCTTTAATCACGATATATTATTATGTCAACAGTTGTTTAACCGAATTACATTTTATGTGTCATAATTCAATTCTAAAATGAAATTTGTCACTCATTAACACAATATTTGTTACTGTAAGGCACAGGCTTAGATTCAATTCAGAAAAAAGCCCGCGTGACTGCCGTGATTGAGATTGAATTTAATTTTCTGTTCGACAGACAAAATTGTTGGTGCCGAGGCGAGGCAATTTTCACGCCCTGTTTGATATGAGCTCACTCGAGCTTGGCATAATCTATCGATCAGTTGATTGTTCTTCTATGCCTTTAAAAGTTTGCAAAACTCTAGCGTATTTTTGAAGGGTCTTGCCACCAGGGCAATTTATAAAAAAGCGTACCATGCAAATTCGAGTGTCAATTTTGTGCTGGATTTTGAGCTACAGTGACAAGTTGCAAGCTGATCGACGGGAATAAATTTCTAGTCGAAAAGTGAGATAGTCTTTAATTTGGGCGTGTAGTATTTCTTGAGAAAACCTTTATTGATGGACCTTGTATGAATGTTCATTAAATTGCGACTTAATTGTTGTGATACATTGGAGATATTTTTTATAATGAGTGATAAATATATTTTATGAGCGTTAAAAAATGAAATTAGTGTGTGCGTCTTACGAATATGGATCTACAATAAGTTTCTCGGCCGTTGATTGTGGTAAGCTAAAGAATGATATGTGAATTGTCGAATTTTTTCGATGCTTTCTTATATTCGGATTCGGAGTATAAAATAAAAAGTTGAATTTGATTTTAGAAACACACTTGAACGAGTCGTACGTGCAGTATTTCTTTCTTTTCGTGCAGTATATTTGACGATATTATGTACTATGCCAATTGTTTATGGGTATCATTTTTCAAGCTATATATCTTACTGATTGAATAAGTGCATCTTTCGCGTGTGAGCAGTCAATGACCAATCCCTTTTATTAAATTTGCGTTGTTAATAAATTGCACTTCTTTATGCATACCATCATTGACGAATAATTGTTCTGTTATCATTGAGAACTTTCTAATGTATTTGATCCTACTTAGATGTTAAATGAATTATTCATTTTTTTCAGTGTCCAAGTCAAAGAAAAATGTTATTCTTCTCATGCGTCATTTTATGTCATTTACCACTTAACATCATTCGTAATGTCATCTTTCAAAGTCTGAGTATCATTCAAAATTTCATCATCATGCTAAATTTCAATCTCATCAACAATCTCAATCATAATAATCTCAAGTCCCAACATCATTCATATTTTCACTATTATTATTAATATTTTCATCATTATTATTCATATTGTCAGTATCATTAGTAATCTGAACATCATATAATATTTTAATGGACTTCCCTGTCCCCCACAGAGACCTGAGTCACAACCGCCTCAAGATCTTGGGGGCGAAGCTGTTCTCAGGGCTCACTGGGCTGCGGTACCTGTACGTATACGATTTTATTGTACGTTTATTAACTTGGTTTTATTGTATTAATTAACCAGCGACGTATTTATTTTTTTGTAAAGCTTGCGTAAATGACATCATTTTATGTGCCGTCGATTAATGTGACGTGGTGTTTCTCTGAGTAGAATGATGACTCGATATTCATGTAGATCGAATTACATGAAGCATCGAATAATTCATACGCTTAATAGTCTAAATAACACTTATTCATAACATTAAATAAATAATAATCGTAAAACATGAGTTGAACGTTATTCTAGGGTTGCGTGTCGTATATTGTACTTATAAATTGGTTATAACAGTAGCGCGAGTAAAAATCGTGATAGACGTGACGTGAGTAATACTCGTCATAAAGATGATGAAATAATACTTGTTATAAAAGTGACGTGAGTAATTTATGTCATAAACGTGACGTAATAATACTTGTCATGAAAGAGACGTAATAATAATCGCCACAAGGTGACGTAAATACTACTTATGAAGAAGGTTTCGTATCAATACCGCTTGTTGACGCGTCCTTGTGATGTTCTGCGGCAGACAAATGGACGGCAACCTGATCAGCTGCATCGACGAGCAGGCCTTCAGAGGCCTCACCTTCCTCGAGATCTTGTGAGTAAATATTTACCTTTATTTCCTTACTTTAAAAATCAATGTAAACTTTATTTCCCTGCTGAAAAATATCAATGGAAATAGATCCGTTGAACGGGTCATTGTTGGCCGGAGATATGCATGGTGGTTAAAATACTGTAGAGGGAAAGTGAAGATTATAAAGACGGTCTTGTGATGGCAAATTCAAATGTACCTGGCTTTGCTATTAATTTTATTTAATATCTTTGAAGATCTCGTCTTGCATCTTCTGCTTTTTTCATGGCTCAATTATTTTTAATCAATTGATCACAAAATATATTAATCGGGTATAACCGAACAGTTTCATTAGTTGCGCATATAAATTGATTAATGGATTGTCGCGATAATAGCCTGATGGCATGTTTTAAAAGTAAACAATTAAAAAAGGCTTTATTCAGGAAAATTTTCTCATATTATCCTTGAAAATTCTAAACAAAAATATAATTCAAACTGCGTAAAATATTGAAATTAGAATACAAGGATTCAGATAAAATGTCGAATCAGCTTTTTGAAAAATAATATAATTATATTTAAGACCGTGGCACTGCACACACAGCCCCACGAGCCACAAAGATTCGCCCGTAACCGTGCTCAGGGAATGTCTTTGGTCGGTAATCGGCGTAATGCGATCAAAGGCGCCGTTGACAGCCTAGCTTACGTTTCGCAAACCCGGCAGCCATTTGTCCTTCTAGCCTCCGGTTTGGCGACATTTTATTTTGCGTTTTTTGTTTTACGTTACCGCAGGAGTAATGTGTTTTAAACCACAGAATATCTTCTTACTTTTTCCCGTTTTGTGCTTATGTTTTAATATGATGAGTAAACATATATTGTAGATGCGCCAGTTTTCCATCATCTTTTTTAAACCGTTACTTTATTCTCGATCATTTAAATTTTTTCAATCGCTATCCAATGCAAAATGTATACAAGCTTTTGCCAGCGATTCGTAAATTTCCGCCTATGTAGTGTTGACCTAAGAATCCGCTTCCACATGCCTTCATGCATTTTGAGCCTCAAAAGCTATATATACACCGATCAGAATGTTAACTGGCATGAAATTATTGGACTTCTCATGTAATTTCATGTCGAGAATCTCATGCTCACTTTTGGTCATTGCACGTCATTTGAGCATCTAAGTAATCGTCCACGCAGAATTATTGATTGGTTATTAATCATTTAGATAAATATGCGCTCGCTACCTTCAGTTCAGAACTTACCTAACCTCAATCGCAACTGGTTAAGTATAGTATGTTTCCTATTGTTTTCCGTTCCATGTGTCATCTTTCATTTCATCATGCAATTCATTTTTAGCGCGTTTTCTCATTTATGGGAAAAAAGGCGCTATTGTGCTCGTCATGTCCGTCCGTCTGTTTGTTCGTCTGTCCGCCCGTCCGTCCGTGACCACGTTTTCGTCGACGAGAAAATGCGCTCTCTGTCACTCACTGCAGTGAGTACTGAGTTATATTTTTTAACGACAGTGAACGGGTATAAATTTAATATTTGAATCTAATTTGTATCCAATTGATAAACCGTTATTTCTTTTAGTGCATATTCTTCTGCATAATATTTATCTCCCTGACAGGAAAAACATGAATTCGTTTTCTGGATCTTTTTTACTGACTATATCAATGAAATTCAACTACAACCCTTGAGAAAACAAAGCTCTTAAACGACAATCATTGGCGTTCGATTGCCGATTGCCAGGCCGATAAACTGGCCATATTAATGTTTCAATTCTAACTTAAGAAAAAAAGCTAAACTACGTCAATCGTATCTAATTGACCTTGATGATGAAATACCAAAATAATGAAATTAAAATTCAGAACTTACCTAACCTCAATCGCAACTGGTTAAATGTAGTATGTTACCTATTGTTTACCGTTCCATTTGTCATCATTCATTTCATCGTACAATTAATTTTTTTAACGACAGTGAACGGATTTGAATTTAATATTTAGTATTTAATTTGTATCCAAATGATAAACCGTCATTTCTTTTTGTGCATCTTGTTCTGCTTAATATTTATGTCCCTGACAGGAAGTAATATGAATTCATTTTCGCTATCTTTTTTACTGACCATATCAATGAAATTTAACTACAACCTTGAAGAAAACGAAGCTCTTAAACGACAATCATTGGCGGTCGATTGCCGATTGCCAGGCCGATAAACTGGCCATATTAATGTTTCAATTCTAACTTAAGAAAAAAAGCTAAACAACGTTAATCGTATCTATTTGACCTGGATGACGAAAGACCAAATTATAAAATAAAATTATAACTTTAAATAAAAATAAACTTTTAAACAGTACTCGTCTTTAATTACCCAGGACAATGAAGGACAACAACATCACGACGCTGTGGAGCGGCACGTTCGACCACACCCCGCGACTGCGCGCCCTACGCATCTCAGGCAACCAGCTGATCTGTGACTGTCAGCTGGCCTGGCTCGGCCGCTGGCTGGCGTCAGCACCGCATCTTGCGCCCTACATCAGGTGCTCGTCCCCCAGCAGGCTTAGGGACAGGATCCTCACCGACGTCGCCCAGAGCGAGTTCAAGTGTGCAGGTCAGTGGTACTTTTAAAAGGGATATAATTTATTATTTATTTATTCTCTTATTATTTCTATATATAGGGGCGGGTTTATTACAATTGCCGCGCGTTTTAATGTAAGGATTTTATCACAAGGTCCAGTTCAGAGATAGGATATTCACCGATGTCGCCCAGAGCGAGTTCAAATGTGCATGCCAGTGGTACTTTATATAAAGGATTTTTAAGAGGGACGGGTTTATTATAATTGACACGCGTTTTAATGTAAGGATTTTATCACAAGATCCGACTCAGAGATATGATATTCACCGAAGTCGCTTTTAGTGTTCAGGTCACTGGTACTTTCATGAGGGACTTGAAAGTGGGCCAATTTATTATAATAGACACCCGTTTTGATCCAAGGCTTTTATTACAAAGTCAGGTTTTGATTGGGATTTGGTTGTTGATTAAAAGTTATGCATAGTGTTTTGTTGTTTGTACATGCTTAATGTTGCTTTTTTGTGTATAATAAGATATATTATCAAAATTCAACTTCTTTTGCAAATTGTGAACATTGGTTGGATTGATAATGTTTACTATATATGCAAAATGTATTAATGAGGTTTTAAGCCAAAAAGACATGTATTGATAGAATTTCATTCAGTGAAGCTAAACTTTATATCACGTTTGTCAAAATACAAATAATTTATAATAACAAATTATTCAATTATTGAGTGTTAACTGACAAGGGCGGTCAATATTCCTGCGCATAAACCGAGGACTTCGCGAAAAGTTAAAATCTCAAGAATACGTTACAAAATGCAAAATTTGCCGTTTACGGTAACGAAAATGCGAAAAATTTGATAATTTAATTGGGTGCCAAGAAATGTGTTCATGAACAGCAGCAAATGCTGACGCCAGTTGTAGGCTTTGGTCTGGGATGGTATCTGCGTTTTATTATTTCATGGCATGATTATACTGACTGCCTGTGTCAGTTCGACAGGCTATCGCACGAGAACCGAATTTGGTTTGTTACACATTCTTGCTTCACGTGAATTTTCTGAGTGTTATTTTTTAAAACAGGATTTTATTGCTGACTAGTACTGAAATAACGAGGTTTCTCTGTGGGAAATGAAACCACAGACCATCGTACGTAAAAAATAGCTGAAGGTTAATTTTTGGTCGCGCACGAAAATAGCGTCCAAGTCATTGGAACGGAAAATTTAAAGTCGAGATTGCATTTTCCCTTTGTTGTAATTAATTTATAGGGTGTTTTGTTTAATCAACTTATAAGTATTGTAATCAATAGACGACACGTAATCGTTTATAACGCCAAAGCGGTTCCTACTCATTTCTTCTATACTGAACTCGATCTGAAGTAGAGATTGAAATTCGGTCATGTAATGGGTGCATTATTAAGTATGTTCTCAGGAATTGGGAAGCTAATGCAAGTAATAACAAAAGTATATTGATTTTTCCTGGCAACTCTTTTTTTCTTAAATTGTAGATTAATTTGTTATAAGAGCGATCAAACTATTTTAATATTTAAAATAGTAATAGTATTAAATAGTAATAGTATTAACTATTTAATAGTTGATAGCAATTTTTAAAATAGTTTAATAATAGTTTAAATAGTTTAATATTTAAAATAGCAGACCGAAAATGGCTTTTCTGTCTGCACGACTATTCTTTCCCCGTCAGACCAGAGCTCGAAATTAACATTTAGACAAGCCAAAGAAATTTTCACGATTCCCGCACACCGCCTTATCCATTCGCAATTACGTATTTCGCTTCAATTCGCGTTCTTCAGACTTGTCGTTTATTTGCTCGTTTCGACCGCAATTTTGTACGGCAATTTCTCTCATGATAGCGGAGCGAGAAGCCAATCCTACGCCTGGCAATTGGATTGTCGCTGGCAAGGAAACGCTCGCCCAAAAAGACACCAATGCCTTCTCGCCGCCAGGATTTATTTCTCTTTTACAGATGCGATGGCTTGCACTCCATTTGTTCTCCATGTTTCTTCGTCTGAGATTTTGCCAAGCTTTCAAATTTTGTCACTTCTTTTTTATTACATTTTTCTACATTGCACGAACTGCTTCTCTATGTAGAGCTGGGATACATGTGAGAAATATCCCGGCATTTATGTAGTATGAAGTCAAGTTTTAATAATAAGTCGTAGTTACATTCCTGTCGTTAATGCTGCAAACCATTGCACGGTGTGAGATAAAATTTATTGATATCTATGCTAGTCTGCATACCTTATCTGTTTCGAGCTGTGCTTCCATTTGCTGTAATTTCTTCTTTGTTTTAACCAATCTTTAGACTCTCTCAATGTAGACAGTTAAGTAGCTTAGCTTTCTTAGTTTCGTTTGGAAAGGGGCAAAGGGTTAGATCCGTGACAATAAGGCCTATTCTCCTTATTTCATATTTTAAGAGCAAATTTCCTGTAACACGCATTTCTCTGGATCTCTTGATCGGCTGCAGTGCTTATTGTTGTTAGCAGACATTTTTAAATCGTATTTTCTTTTTTTTGTTTGTTGCCCTTTCTTTCATTTTCTCTCCCTTTCAAGCACATTCTTCAAAGAGTAGTTAACTGCAAAATTTCAGAGTTCGGAAAGACCCTTCTTCTACTGGGCCGGGTATTTTTCATTGTAAACCCTCCCTTTCTGTAAAAGCCTGATGGTTAATTAGGGTCTCTATGTCGACATCCATGTCACGCTGTCGCACAAGCAGGAAGCCAAAACTATTAGAGGATTAAATTTGTTCAATTGAGTTTTTAAAGATCTACTTTGCCGTATTAATGTTACCAAAGCAGTTAATTAGCGCGAAGTCTTTTCTCGTTTTACTTTCTTCCTAGATTCAGATCATCGCGATAGATGCAACATAGAATTTTTATTTTTCTATCAATCATGGTACTATTTCGGACAAAAATTTTAATTAAAGTTCCTGTTCAGTTCTGACTAACTGCGGACCATAAGCCTCTTTATATTATAGGGAGGAATTATGAACGGGAAAGGATCGAAGAGCAGCGTTTCTACGCCATTTGTTGGTAGTAATTACGCATTGACGACGCTGGGACTCTAACCTTTGATTTATATTGAAGTAACTTTGCTATTCTTGTTACGTAAATCTATTTCGGAGACAAAGATTGCCATAATTTCTTTCTCCTCTTTTTAATTATGATAAGAAAGGAGAGAGTTGTTTTTTTATGCCAAAAAATTTACATTTTGATCCATTCTCCTAGGTGGACATCTCAGCTGTTGTTAAGAAAATGTCTTCACACATTTGCGTGAATTTTTTGTATATATTCATTAAATGAATTCCAGTTTTTACTTATTATAATTGGAGTAATTATTGTATTACGTGCCCAGGTCTAGTATCGTCGAGCGCTCCCCGTGAGTGCACCCTGTCGCCCGTGTGTCCCCGCGGGTGTTTGTGCGGCCAGGGCATCGTTGACTGCAGGGACACGGGGCAGCAGCGCGTCCCCACACACATCCCCGACGACACCATCGAACTGTGAGACATTCTTGACAATCATCGAACTGTGAGAAATTCCTTGACAATCGTCCAACTGTGAGACATTCCTTGACAATCGTCGAACTGTGAGACATTCCTTGACAATCGTCGAACTGTGAGACATTCCTTGACAATCATCCAACTGTGAGACATTCCTTGACAATCATCCAACTGTGAGACATTCTTTGACAATCATCGAACTGTGAGACATTCCCTGACAATCAATGAACTGTGAGACATCCTTGCCAACCATCGAACTGTGAGACATATTCTTGCCAGCCATCGAATTGCAAGACTTTCTTGTTTAAAATGGAACTGTGAGATCTTGCTTATCTATACCATCGGACTGCGGGACATTCATTGCCAACCATCAAGCAGAATCATTTCATGATCTACCATCGAACTGCGTGACATGAGTTTCCAACATCTACAATTTTTGATTTCACGTTAAATGGTTCATCGTTATTATAACTTGTATTTTGATCTAAGTATTAAACACCACAACCATTGCCTCGTCTTGGCTTAATGCCAATACACACGAAAAGAGTATAGGCTGAAAATTCTACACTGTTAGAAAAAACGGTGAAAAAACGGTCCCACTGGCGTTTTAGTGGCCGGTCGCCCCGTGAAAATAAATTGTTTCGCCGTTTTTATCAGGTGTTTTACGGATTTCTAGTGTTAAATTAGAATAAAAACGGCGAAACGGTGTTTATTTTCACGTGCCGACCGGCCACTGAAACGCCGGTAATACCGTTAACGGTAATTTTTCATAAAGTGTAGGCTCGTTATCCATGGCCGGCGCATGGCCGCCCATCAGCCGAGATTTGCTCCAGCGAAGTCCCTCTTGCCAGCCCAGAATGCAGATGGAGTTTGAGAGCTTTAGCGACGCGCCGGAGCTGTGCAAACCAGATAAAAATTCCTGAGATTGGCGGCTTTGCCTGGCACGTGGCATGGTTTCCATCAGTATTGCGTAGACTTGATCACTGTTACTGCTCTGAATTTACATGCCGCGTTTCATTTTGCAAGATATTAATTATTGCTTCCTAAATGATCCCCTCGTAATTCTTAAATGCTTTTCATTAGATTCATTTGTATTTGGCAGAAAGAATTTAATATTTGTTCGCAGTATTTGATACTAAGACAAGAAGGTGGAGATTATTTCTTGAGATAAGTCAAGAGTATTAAACTTACTGGTTTGTAATACAAACCACAACACAATTAGGTTTATACAACATAAACTGTTATTTCTGCGATTGGCATTTTGGGCTCGCATTTGGTTTATAATCACTCGTGGATCTTCCCGACTGAATTTTAATCTATCTCGGATGTATCTACTTATTTTATTTTATCATTCGAAACGTAAAAATCTCGGATCCGAATACGAGATTTTTACGTTTTGAATGAAATTTAAATTAGCCTTGATTTCATTTTCCATAAAATTTATTCTACCTAGTATTTGTATGGAGAAATTACTCTTTCAAATTTCGAGTTTGCGAACTCTCTCCTGATTCACCGAGATTTTCTGACGAAAGTTTAAAAAATAGATTAAAATAATGGTCAGTTACTTGGATAAATTTTTGAATGATAACTTGATACATTATTGCTATTTTTTTTTTATTTCAGGCGACTGGAGCACAATCAGATCGTCGAAGTTCCATCGAAAGCCTTCGCCGCGTTCCGTTTATTGAAACGCATGTGAGTAATCCACGTATCACGCGTTCAGTGTTCGTAAGTTTGTACTTCTTTATCAAACTTTCCTACCATAATACTTTGCAGCTAGCTTGCTCAATATTGAACCATTAATCTTATTGTATTTACTTTACTATCGTTAATATTGTATTTGCTACACATTTCTTGTGTAGCAAGTTAATACACACCTGGGGCTATGCTTTCAAAACTGGCTAAGTGAACGTAAGTACTTACGCTCTATTTTCTTGTCTATGATTGGTGGATTTTGGTTGAAAGGCCGTCAATGATTGGCTGATGAACTTACGATCTCTTAACTTTTTTGAAAGTATAGACCCTGAAACTTTATGCCATTACTGCTATGAATGATTCAGATTTCAAACATTGATTAATTCTGTTCTTAACTATTCATGAATATATTCTTGAATTTGCCTCGAATTAAAATTCACATTTGTAGTAACCCTCTTCTCTCTTATAAGATGATTTGCAAATGTGTCATAGAATGGATTAAGTATTAGCTTTAATTCATCTAAATCATCGTCGTAGAATATATTAAACGGTGTACCTTATTCGTACACAACTGCATCATAGAATATATTAAACTTTAGATTTTTCCACCAAACTGAGTCACAGAATAGATTAAACTTTAGATTTATCCCACCACACTGCGCCATAGAAAAGATTAAACTTTAGATTGTCTTACCAAACTGCGTCATAGAATAGATTAAACTTTAGATTGTCTTACCAAACTGCGTCATAGAATAGATTAAACGTTAGATTTTTCCCACCAAACGGAGTCATACAATAGATTACACTTTAGATTTTCCCACCAAACTGAGTCATAGAATATATTTAACGGGAAATGAAATGCACGATCAACTGGATTTCATGGTTTAGTAATGGAGTATTGTAATGTCCATGGGAAACTCAATGAAGTTTCCGGAACGGCTTGTTCATTGACAGTTAGTTTATATGTTACCGATTGTATTTCGTTATTAAGGCTTCTGTATGTAGTTTAGAAATTCAAGATTTGAATGCATACAGCATGAGTTATGATGTTGGGAATTGTAGCTGTGTGGTTTGGGACCCAAACATATGGATAAACACATCCATTAGCTTATTGATGAACGTCTCGAGTTTGGTGTGGGATTTGCAAATTGAGGAAATTGATTTGCAACTTAAGTCCCGTGTTCACTGTGCTGTGGGAATAACTTGTACCTGTGTGAACTTAGTTCTAACTAGTGAGAGGTACTATCAGAACTTGGCGTTCTGTTTAACAGTGTTATGTAAATGACACGTACTGTATTAGTTATCTTGTAATGTGTTGTAATTATATTGTTTTATGAAGATTGAGTTTAAGCAAATCTCTCGTGGTTATTTATTAAAAGAAATTAGTATTGTATAGCAGTTACTCTACCGAAGAAATAATTCCCAGCAGTGTCAGTTGAATGCAAACGCTGCCATGAAACGCTGGGATTAATATTACTTTCATGTGCATTATTTTAATTGTTTAGTTTTTAATAACTTAACTTTGATATTTTATAAATTAACGTGAAAACATTCCAAAGCGATTTGACTTATCCTTCGATTTATTAGTCCGTTTTTATTATATTTTTAAGTGTAAGATTCAAATTGTTTGATGAATATAGTCCACGTTAAAAACAACGTGGATATTTTGTTTTAAAAATCAATGAATCTTTTATAGGTATATCATAGTCAGTTTATGAGATATTAAGTTATTTGTGTAGTCTACCGTCACAATAATGAAATGAACTGGTGTTTGGTTTGTTGCTTTTTACTTGATTTGAATGCTCTAAAAATGTGGAATTTTTAATTTCACCGTTGTCTTATGAAAAGCGATACAATATTTGATAATAACGTTTGAAAATAATAAATATAAATTGGTAAAAAATATATAAATAAAATAGAAAGCCAATATTTATTTTTCTGCCGCAGTGACCTGAGCAATAACGAGATCGCCTCCATTGCCGACGACGCCTTTCATGGCCTGCGAAGTTTGAATTCCATGTAAGTGTCCATTTGTTAGACTAATGTTGGTGTTTAAGTTGTTTCCCTCGTTATGTTTTTTTTGGGTAAGATTTTTAGCGCATTTTCTCATTTATGGAAAATATGCACTATTGTGCTTGCCATGACCGTACGTCTGTCTGTCTGTCCGTCCGTAACTTCACGTTTCCGTCGACGAGAAAATGCGCTCTCCGTCACTCACTGCAGTGAGGACTGAGTTATATTTTTTAACAATGCATTCTATTTAGCCGCTAACTAATTACTTCAGAATATCCACTGTTAGAGTTTTAGACCAATGTCGGTGTTTAAGTTGTTTCACTCGTTAAGTTTTTTGGGTAAGATTTTATAACAAGTAATTTGATTTACCCATAAACTAATTCAGACAATTGACGCTTAAATTTTGTTCACTGGATCCCATAAAATTTATACTCTGAGTAAACCAAATCACTGAATAACATGCCCAATTCTTCCCTTTATCGTTCTCCAATAATGTTACTGAAAATAATGTTTTTATCGTTTCTTTTAATATAAAATAATGTTTATTCTGCAGTGTTTTGTACGGGAACAAACTGACGGAGATATCCGAACACGTCTTCCGAGGGTTAACATCTCTGCAGCTGCTGTGAGTGCTCGGCTGTGCATGTATATTAGTATACATCCATATATTATTTATATGGATGTTACATCCATATATTATTTATATGTGTTATATGTGTCAGAATTGTTGAATATTTTATATAATCACGATCGAATATTATTTATAATCATTGGCTGCTGTGAGTGCTCGGCCGTGGATATATATATATTAGTATATTACATCCATATATTATTTATATGTGTTATATATGTCGGAAATGTTGAATATTTTGTATAATCACGATCGAATATTATTTTTAATCATTGTGTGAAATGCTTGTGTAATAAGCTGTCATCCTCATCAAGTTCACAATTCTGTGAGGCAAGTTTTTTTGCATTAATTTTCTTTAATTAAGTTATTTATTTCTTAATTTCATGTTAAATTTTTTGTATAATCTATAAATATTCGATAAATTTCTATCTGTTAGCATGACCAATTCTGTCTCTTGATAATCGTCAGGATTTTTATAGGCGCAACTGGAACTTTCACTATCTTAGCCCGTCGTTAATTTTAAGTCTCTCAAATACTCCATAAAAAGGAACAAAAAATATAATTCGCTTATCTTATCGCAGGCAAAAGTGATCGTTTGCACCTAGCATGAATAATTACCGGAAAATGCATCCGCATATATTAGCTGGCCTGTTGAAATTTAGACAGCTGTTGTGGTAACAGAATGGCTGGCGATAGCCTGCCTTATATTTTCAAATTCTATCCAATGTAAATTTTATCATATTGCCAGGCTCGGCAATCAAATATTAATTGAGCTGCATGACTTTTTTTATTTCAATGCATCGGAGATATTGCAGCGAGAGAGAGGAGCTATTGCAGCAGCTAAAATGAAACTCGTTCATCTATCTCATACAAGAATGATTAAAAAAATATTCTTTTTCAATTTAGGTCAACTTCGAGCGTAGTCATGTTTGCATTAATTCTTTAGTGGTATTTGATCTAGCTTTTTTTATTTGCGATGAATTCACGTTTGCGTTAATACTTAAGTTGATCAATTTACTCACTATTTATCTGTTGATTTGCGCAGGCTGCTGAACGCGAACAAGATTGAATGCGTCCACGCAAACGCCTTCAGAGATCTCGTCAGCCTAAAGGTTTTGTTGTTTAAGAAATTTGCTTACAATTGCGTTATAAGTTATAAGTTATAAATCATCATTCACTGTAAGATTTCCTAAGTTCACAATAAAAAGTGTTCAATTTTTAAGTCCTTACATCGAGTTGAGTTCTTCGTGTACTCGCTGCTCAAGTTAAAATATTTAATTCCTCTCTCGTCTGATGCAAATTGAACGGAAATGAGTTTGTCTAATAGGATTTAGTGACGCTCCAATCGTTTTTCCATAGCGCTGACAAAATAGAACAGTTTCCCTTCCTCGATTGCATTTCGGTGAGATTTAAACGTGGCTCTTTGTCTGATCGCCGATTACGAGCGAGAAAGAAATAGTGATTGAACGGAAATACGACTATTGGTGCTGATAATGATTCTTGCTGGAGGGAAATTACAGTGAAATTTAAAACGTACGAAATAATATAAAAATCGCGAAACTAATTTATAAACAAAGTGGAAATAATGTTTCTACAGTACTTTCAAACGTGTTTTGCTGTTGTTAGTCAACTAGTTAGTTTTATTTAGTTTTGTTTATCCTATCTTGTCATGTGACTAATTATCAACTCAGAATAATGCAAGAACAAGCTCAAATTCCGACATTATTAAAATGATTTTGAGATGAATAAACACTTGGAAATACCATGACGTGACACCTTGACACCTGACGACTCAGACCTGAAAACCCACGAAGAAGACTTTAATATTTGAAATATCCCATACAATGTTTTATTATTTTAGCGCTTAATAAGATATAATTGCTGATATTTATCGCTATTTTGCAGGTCCCTGTACGACAACAACATCAAGACGATGAGCAACGGCACCTTCGCTTCCATGCACATAGTGCACACTATGTGAGTGAGGGAATATCATTATTTACCTTATTGATATAGTTGAAAATAAATGTCATTGATTGGTTTTGATGTGTAGCTTATTTTCTTTGTCGAGAATCGTTACTAATAGCACTTGGAGGTAGGAGCTATCTGCGAAAAGGTATGTTTTTTTTCGGTCTAATTCAGTGAATATATACGTAAGCATCTTCGAGACTATTTGTCGTCAGTGTAACGACGAATAATCTGATTACACTCCCAATTAAAATTATATTTTTCATGAAAACCATAGATGTCAAGGAAAGTTTATATTGGAAACTAGAAAATATGCACCGCACGAATCTTTTCAGTGCGAGTGAACTCGCCTATCCGATTTAAAGTTCGGCAGTATAAGTTACGGGAATTGAACAAAGTAGTTTAACTTTGGTTATACCAACGAAGACATTCCAATGCATGCAGCAAGTCAGTTTCTAGCAGGCAGCTCATGCGAATATTCATGGCTGTTATGAGTTTCCCAATCATATTTTGGTCGAGACGTGAACGGCGTAGTATCTGTAATCTGTTTTCGGCTCTTTTATCTGTAAAGCTCGGCTCTGATTAAAGAATGGATGGGACTTTTTTAATGCCCTTCTTAGTTTATTTATGAAACTTGTACCATGAAGCATCTTATTTGATATCGTTATATATTATCGATGGTTATCATCGACGGTTAAGGATTATCGAAATAGAATTGCAATAAAATCTGATTTATACGTTCGGTAACAAGCGAACTCATCTTAACCTCGACTCACGGAACCTTATCATCTCGAAATGAATCTTTATTTTTCAAATAACGGTTAAATTTTTGTAGTAAAAAATTTTCCCTAGCCTCTGTGGCGCCTTGAGTGATTTGGGGTCTGAGGCGTTTCCCGAAATATCGATTAGTTTGTAAATTTTTGCGGACGTCAAATTTTGTTCTTACTAACGATGCAATTTTTCAACGGATCGTAACTTGCAAAAAAAAATCTTAACATTGAAACTATAATTTGGGAGTAGCCATTTCGGTAAACTGTTAATAAATGTACATATTGACTGTTATTCGCTTCACACGAGTACCGTATAGCCATGACTTGAGCGCGTAATAAATTTCGCGTGCTTAACGAAGGGATTTGGTATGGGCGTCACTGCTGGAGCTGTGCAATGTGCATGTCTTATCAGGTGCTAATGGCGAGCTTGGTTACTCCCTCCATCAATAAAGAGTGGGCCCAACTTCCTTGCTCCCATTATTGCGTGGGTTACTCCCTCCATCAATAAAGAGTGGGACCCAACTTCCTTGCTCCCACCACGTACCCTGTTGTGGTACCACGTACCCTGTTGTGGTGCCACGTGCCCTGTTGTGGTGCCACGTATCCCGTTGTGGTACCACGTACCCTGTTGTGGTGCCACGTACCCTGTTGTGGTACCACGTACCCTGTTGTGGTACCACGCACCCTGTTGTATAACCACGTACCCTGTTGTGGTGCCACATACTCAATTGGGGTACCACAATGAGGTGAACGTCTCTTTCATCAAGTTTTCCAGCTATGTGGGTGGAGTTTTTGAAAATGGGTCTCATTTACCCTCTAATTCCTTCTGACTTCCGCTTAAAATTTGAAGGTTTTGTTGTTTAAGAAATTTGCTTACAATTGCGTTATAAGTTATAAGTTATAAATCATCATTCACTGTAAGATTTCCTAAGTTCACAATAAAAAGTGTTCAATTTTTAAGTCCTTACATCGAGTTGAGTTCTTCGTGTACTCGCTGCTCAAGTTAAAATATTTAATTCCTCTCTCGTCTGATGCAAATTGAACGGAAATGAGTTTGTCTAATAGGATTTAGTGACGCTCCAATCGTNTTATTGCCTGGGTTCACTCCATCAATAAAGAGTGGGGCCCAACTTCCTTGTTCCCATTATTGCCTGGGTTCACTCCATCAATAAAGAGTGGGGCCCAACTTCCTTGTTCCCATTATTGCCTGGGTTCACTCCATCAATAAAGAGTGGGGCCCAACTTCCTTGTTCCCATTATTGCCTGGGTTCACTCCATCAATAAAGAGTGGGGCCCAACTTCCTTGTTCCCATTATTGCCTGGGTTCACTCCATCAATAAAGAGTGGGGCCCAACTTCCTTGTTCCCATTATTGCCTGGGTTCACTCCATCAATAAAGAGTGGGGCCCAACTTCCTTGTTCCCATTATTGCCTGGGTTCACTCCATCAATAAAGAGTGGGGCCCAACTTCCTTGTTCCCATTATTGCCTGGGTTCACTCCATCAATAAAGAGTGGGGCCCAACTTCCTTGTTCCCATTATTGCCTGGGTTCACTCCATCAATAAAGAGTGGGGCCCAACTTCCTTGTTCCCATTATTGCCTGGGTTCACTCCATCAATAAAGAGTGGGGCCCAACTTCCTTGTTCCCATTATTGCCTGGGTTCACTCCATCAATAAAGAGTGGGGCCCAACTTCCTTGTTCCCATTATTGCCTGGGTTCACTCCATCAATAAAGAGTGGGGCCCAACTTCCTTGTTCCCATTATTGCCTGGGTTCACTCCATCAATAAAGAGTGGGGCCCAACTTCCTTGTTCCCATTATTGCCTGGGTTCACTCCATCAATAAAGAGTGGGGCCCAACTTCCTTGTTCCCATTATTGCCTGGGTTCACTCCATCAATAAAGAGTGGGGCCCAACTTCCTTGTTCCCATTATTGCCTGGGTTCACTCCATCAATAAAGAGTGGGGCCCAACTTCCTTGTTCCCATTATTGCCTGGGTTCACTCCATCAATAAAGAGTGGGGCCCAACTTCCTTGTTCCCATTATTGCCTGGGTTCACTCCATCAATAAAGAGTGGGGCCCAACTTCCTTGTTCCCATTATTGCCTGGGTTCACTCCATCAATAAAGAGTGGGGCCCAACTTCCTTGTTCCCATTATTGCCTGGGTTCACTCCATCAATAAAGAGTGGGGCCCAACTTCCTTGTTCCCATTATTGCGTGGGTTCACTCCATCAATAAAGAGTGGGGCCCAACTTCCTTGCTCCCATTATTGCGTGGGTTCACTCCCTCCAGCAATAGAGTGGGGCCCGACTTCCTTGCTCCCATTATTGCGTGGGTTCACTCACTCCATCAATAAAGAGTGGGACCCAACTTCCTTGCTCCCATTATTGCGTGGGTTCACTCCATCAATAAAGAGTGGGGCCAACTTCCTTGCTCCCATTATTGCGTGGGTTCACTCCCTCCATCAATAAAGAGTGGGGCCTGTCTCTTATACACATCTAGATGTGTATAAGAGACAGATATTACATCCATTGAAGAAAATGAATATGAGATACAATATAGTACGAGTGGATCAAATGTAGCCTAATAAATAATTATGTCATCGAAAAACACATCCATATAGAAATGCACAATTTAGTTCTTATGGCTCGATNATTGCGTGGGTTCACTCCAGCAATAAAGAGTGGGCCCAACTTCCTTGCTCCCATTATTGCGTGGGTTCACTCCAGCAATAAAGAGTGGGCCCAACTTCCTTGCTCCCATTATTGCGTGGGTTCACTCCAGCAATAAAGAGTGGGCCCAACTTCCTTGCTCCCATTATTGCGTGGGTTCACTCCAGCAATAAAGAGTGGGCCCAACTTCCTTGCTCCCATTATTGCGTGGGTTCACTCCAGCAATAAAGAGTGGGCCCAACTTCCTTGCTCCCATTATTGCGTGGGTTCACTCCAGCAATAAAGAGTGGGCCCAACTTCCTTGCTCCCATTATTGCGTGGGTTCACTCCAGCAATAAAGAGTGGGCCCAACTTCCTTGCTCCCATTATTGCGTGGGTTCACTCCAGCAATAAAGAGTGGGGCCCAACTTCCTTGCTCCCATTATTGCGTGGGTTCACTCACTCTGCTCCCGTTCTTTTCATATTTTCATTCAGCTTTCGCGATTCTGTTCTAATTTTCCCCTCCATTTCTCACCCATACGTTAATTTTTGTTCTTATAGTTCACTTTTGCCTGCAATGTAGGACAGAGCGCAATCGCTCAGCGTTCTTTGATCCAATTTATAATTTCCATCAGTACTCGATTTCATCTCATCTAATTGTTCTGTTTTATTGGTTTCTACCTAAATCATATGCTTTTTCGGGCACTCATGATCAAAAATTAAGTTGATTGTGATCAGAAATGGCTTCATTTCGATGGCAATAACTGATATATACTAATACATAGTGAGCATATCGTATACTTTATTATCACTTATATCAAAATTCAGTTTATGCACAATTACGTACAAAATTCATCGCTGTGTTGGTGGCCGAAGTGTCCATCTTATCGGCCGGCCAACTGGCGGCCCTGCTGCTTCACGGCGCCGGTCGCCTGCTTATTAACGGCTCTGAATTATTTCCTCCCTTGTGTTGGTTGTTATATTTTTGACAGTGCCATTGTAATACCAATGTACTAGTTATGGTAGTGTAATAGTGTCACTTTGATACCACTGTGCTACTTATATCAGTGCGCCAGTGTCATTTTAATACCTGCATTTTAATACCTAATAGAGCTATTTATGGTGCTGTACTACTGTCGCTCTAATACCATTGATACCAGTTCACTAGTGTGACATTAATACCTCTGTATCATTAATATCAGTGCACTAGTGTCACATAATACCATTGATGTCATTGTTTCAGTTTCCCCTTTTACCACCCTACTATCGACATCAGTGCACTAGTTCAAATTTAATACCATTGACACCAGTGCACTAGTTCAAATTTAATACCATATACATGAGTGCTCTAGTTTAAATTTAATACCATATACATGAGTGCACTAGTTTAAATTTATTATCATAGACATCATTGCACTAGTTTCAATTTAATACCATATACATGAGTGCACTAGTTTAAATTTAATAACACAGAGATCAGTGCACTAGTTTAAATTTAATACCATAGACACCATTGCACTAGTTCAAATTTAATACTAAAGACATCAGTGCCCTAGTTTAAATTTAATACCATAGACATCAGTGCACTAGTTTCACGTTATACCACCACCCTACGCCTCAGCAAGAAGCCCATCGCTAAGATGCACCCTGACTCCTTCAAGTGTGAGTAGAATGCGTAGGAATAACATTACTGCCCTACAAGTGTGAGTAGGATGCGTAGGAATATCATTAACGCCCTACTAGTGTGAGTAGGATGCGTAGGAATATCATTAGCGCCCTACTAGTGTGAGTAGGATGCGTAGGAATATCATTACCGCCCTACTATTGTGAGTAGGATGCGTAGGAATAGCATTACCGCCCTACTAGTGTGAGTAGGATGCGTAGGAATAACATTACCGCCCTACTATTGTGAGTAGGATGCGTAGGAATAACATTACCGCCCTACTAGTGTGAGTAGCATGCGTAGGAATAGCATTACCGCCCTACTAGTGTGAGTAAGATGCGTAGGAATAACATTACCGCTCTATTAGTGTGAGTATTACTAGCACCAGACTCCTTCTAGGGTGATTAGTGCGCGCATATATAGGAGTTTCATTATCGCGAGACACGGGTATAAATGGTAAGAAAAAATTTAAGAACAGTAATCCTGGCACAGTTATTCAGAGTACGATTAGAAATGAACATGATTTATTGTCTTTACACTGCCATCGTTGGCGCAAGGGGTAATTTTTTTCAATTCACTATTCACGTAGATTAGTTCCGTTTTTCATTCATAAACACGAGTTTTTTTCGATATTTGATAGCGAAGTGAAAATATTAATTAAAGGTAGGTGTATCAACCGAACTCCGTAGTGATATCATGTTACTTTCAGTTGCGTAAATCAACGTTTAACTCTTAAACCCGTACCATAACACGTAAATTTAATAAAATTTATAAATTCATAAATTAAATTTATAACGTCAGAAATTTATGACGTTAAGTCATAAGTGGGAAAAATTGCCAAACTTTTTAAATCGATGGAGGTATTGATGTTTTTTTTGACTAGCAAATGGGGTTTGAAAAATCAATGGCGGATTATTAGAAGATACCAAATAACTACCAGATGTCTTGTGCGTATGAGCGTCTAACATGCTGGGGTAGGAAAGTACTTTTCTTGTCATCAGCTAAAGAAAATTGTGGCGTGCATCAAAATTGGAATTCTGAGGGGCCGATGGAATTTCATAATATTTGTAACTTCATTTAATGAGGATGAGTTTATATAATGACTATGAAAATGTACCTTCGAAGTACCTAATTGAAATTGATCAATGGACATGAGTCGACCAACCGTCAGCCATTCACTGCCCAGCGCAGAATGGGTCGATTGTTTGTTAAGGGTGAGCCATGATGAAGGCCGAACTCTCATTAGCTCGACAAGTCAATTAATTAAGCTGCCCATAACACATTGCAAACGTTTGAATTGTTCACCTGCTGATTAATCACCTCGGAATCATCAGTTGAGAGACCATAAACAGACTCGGCAGTCATTCGGCGCCCGTTCTATCATCGATCACTTAGGCTCCTGAACAATAACGCCATCATAGGCATGCCGGTGTGTTTACTTTCTTTTGCGGCTAGATTACTAACGGAGAAATTCGTATATTATTACTACTACTTTATTTTGCAGCTGGATCACTAACATTGTAGAAATACGTATATTTTTTAGTACGGCTAAATTATTATTTGTCTTTTGAACGCTGTTTCTCAAACTTGAATCTACACTACATGAAAAATTACCATGATATTTTTATCGATGTTTTTAAGTACACAAGACCTTCGATTGAGACTAAACTGTTCTGAAAAAGTACCTACCAAAAATTTTATTGAAGAATATATGGCTTTTGAACTATTTTAAAATAAAAAACGTGTTGTTGTAGGCTATCGTCAGCCATTCCGAGGCATCTGAAAATAATGCAACGATTTTTGCAAAATCGACTTTAGAATCCCAGCTCGAGAAAGATCGCAGGTCGTTCTATTGGATTTAGCCGCGCCTCGGCCAAATGGTAGTGAGAGAGGCAGAAATTCTTATATTTTTATTACTACTTTATTTCCAGCTAGATCACAACATCCGAGAAATACGTATATTTTTTAGTACTACTTTATCTTGCGGGTAGTTTGCTAACATCAGAGAAATTCCTATATTTTTATTACTACTTCATTTTGCGGGTAGATTAATATCATATAAAAACCTTCCGTAAAAAACCTTGATGTAATTCGATTATAGATATTTCCGGTTCAATATATTTCTATTGTATAGCAACAGATTCATCTATGAATGACCCTTCTTAATTAAGTGTATAGAAGAAATTGGTTTAAATATTTCATGGGCGAACCGAAATGGCCCGACGAAGCTATGTTGTGAGCGGAATCAGGGCTAAATTATTGTTAGTCTTTTGAGCTCTGTTTCTCCAACTTGAACCTATACACTACATGACAAATTACCATGAAATTTTTATCGATGTTTTTAAGTACCCAAAGCCTTCGATTGAGATTGAACTATTCTGAACAAGTAGGTACCTAACACAAATTTTATTCAAGAATATGGCTTTTAAACCATTTTAAAATAAAAAAGCGAGTTATTGCGGGCTTTCATCGGCCATTCTGAAGCCACTGAAAATAATGCAATGATATTTGCAAAATCGACTTTAGAATCCCAGCTCGAGAAAGATCGCAGGTCGTTCTATTGGATTTAGCCGCGCCTCGGCCAAATGGTAGTGAGAGAGGCCACATTTTTGAGCGTCTTCAAAGGCCAGGTCATGAAGGCAATCCTCTCTGACGCTCCACATTGCCTGGCTTCCCAGGCCTCGACATCGTCGTCGGTAAATGAAAAGTGATGGAAGCCTCGTGCCTCCGACATGAAGCGGTGGCTTCTTATGAATTGGATGCTCGCTACGCGTGCCAAGTTTTGCCAGTTTGCTTTAGCCGGGAATTTGAATCTTGCACTTTTTTTTCATATTGTCTTTCTTGTCTAGATTCATACAAGAATCTTGAATGATTTGTGCTAGCAACATGAATTTGAACATACACTTTTTTCCACATTGTCTATCTTGTCTAGATTCATACAAGAATCTTGGATGATTTGTGATTTGCAACAAGATTTTCTGAGCTGTAATTCAAAAGCAATGCTTCGTTTCCTGCACAGCGGTGGAAATTTCAAAAGTATTGCTGGCAATGGGAAAGCCTTTCACGGAAGTGCGAAAAAAACAAACGAGTTGAAATTCCTGGAGTCCACGGATATAACGTAATATATATAACCTCCTTGAATGGAATATATTCTGCATTGATGATTAATGCAGTAAAACGTGTTGCAATGAGAGTCGCTACAATAAAACGTGTTACAATGAGGGTCGCTACAATAAAACGTGTTACAATGAGGGTCGCTACAATAAAACGTGTTACAATGAGAGCCGCTACAATAAAACGTGTTACAATAAGGGCCGCTACAATAAAACGTGTTACAATAAGGGTTGCTACAATAAAACGTGTAACAATGAGGGTCGCTACAATAAAACGTGTTGCAAAGAGACTGATGCCATTCGCTACAATGCAGCTGGTGATATCTTGTTAGGCTCTGATATGCCCGGGGCGTCGAATACAAGAAATTCTATTCAGGTATTGTCGGTACAAATTTTGCAATGATGTCATTGTGGAGCATTTGGGTTGAAGATTTGAATGAACATCGTTATGATGTTCAAACTGATAAACAGTTTTATGAAACGAATGAGCAGAGTTGGTGAGATCTTACGACGATATGTCTTCTATTCTAAGAAGTTACTAAGTATGTAATGAGTGCTGTTGTCGAGGCTGATCTTGAAATTTTTTTACCATTTGTTCAACTGTTTTGATTTATTTGAACGCGTTTGTTAAGTAAACAGCACAGTTTTACCTAATTTATCATATAGTGACATCTGATGCTTGCCTTAATATCTACAAATTTAACGAAATTTCCAAAAATATTTGTTAGAGTACTATCTTAACATAATGAATTAGTTGTCAGAATGAAATTCGAACTGCAGTTGGCTTTTCACTTCAGCCGCCAATCCCACATGATTCATATTTTTCTGATGCGCTGCAATATTTATTTCGTGCAAAGCTGCAACAAAAATTAATTTTCTGTCGCTGAAGTGTTGATCGGTTCACGGTGCTGACCAAACGATAGGCTTCCCTTTTGCTGCGTTGGAAATTGATTTTTATACCTTGATATTCGGCTCGAAAAATGGCGAGTTGTGACCAGAAACGTTGTGATTATGTGTTCAAATGTTTATTTTGAGTAATTTTAAGTTTAATTTTCGGAAATTCTGTATTTATAGCGCATTTTCTCATTTACGGAAAAAAGGGCGCTATTGTGCTCGTCATGTCCGTCCGTCTGTCCGTCCGTCTGTCTGTCCGTCCGTGACTTCACGTTTTCGTCGACGAGAAAATGCGCGCTCTGTCACTCACTGCAGTGAGTACTAAGTCATATTTTTTAATTTAAACCCGTTTTTTTCATCCGAAATAATTAGTGCGTAAATTTTTTTAGATATAGGGACTATAATTAGGTTTTTCAATTAATATTTGTGTTCATTCGCGTTCGGACGTTTTGACTATTATACATACATGTATATCGCTGACACTATCATATATTCAGCATGCCAGTGAACTGCAGGGAGAACGACCATATAAATTACAGGTAGACTATTTCAATCGAAGCATACAAATTTATCAGTAATAATATCAGTATTAAGTATGAAACGATAATCGATATGATTTTTGACGGAGTGCAAGAATTTGAATTCATCGTTGCATGAAAAAATATCAGTATTTTACAGCGCATTTTTTGGATGTCGCTAAGTGACAGTCTTTTGCACCCTTCTTATTCGCATTGGTAACATTTACATGGATTGTTTTATAGAAAGATTGTTCCCATGATCCTGCTTATTTTTCTACTCCTAATTTAGATAACTTAGTTCAATGGTTCACAATACGAGTTGAAATTTTCGTGCATTGTTGCCCTCATATCAAACGTATCGTATTTTATGACTCATTATGCCATTACCATTCTTACTTTAGAAGCTTTTAATTAACATTCATTATTTTGTTTTAATGTCGAAACTTTTCATTTTATTATTTTTATTATTTTTTATCTATTTATGCATTATTATTTGAATTATTATCGATATCTATGCATTATCATTGTTATCATGATAATGATTGTGACAACAGGCAGCACGGAGCTGCGCGCGCAGCACGCTGGCCGCTGCGCCGCGTCGCTGCCTTGCCCCACCCCCTGCACCTGCGACGCTACGCGGGTAGACTGCTCTGGCCGGGCCCTCTCTGCCCTGCCCACTCTGCCTGCCCACACAACCCACCTGTGAGTGTCTGCCCACACAACCAACACCACACTGCCTGCCCACACAACCCACCTGTGAGTGTCTGCCCACACAACCCACCTGTGAGTGTCTGCACACACAACCCACTTGGTAATCTTGGTAATCTTTTTACTTGTTTAGGACATAGCAGTCCCAGGCCACGATGGATCGCCGCCTCTGATTATCGTTCATCCGCCCTCATTTGGGCCACCTGAAGTACGATGCTGTTGCTTGCTTCTCGCCGCTGTTAGTGTTGCAGGGGAGGTCGATCTGGGATTGTGCCCAGGAAAACGTCCAGTTGTCTCTTGAAGGTCTCCAGGGTGAACTCCCCCTCTCTTAGAACCTTTGGTAGGACGTTGAACAGCCTTGGCCCTTCAACGGAAAGTGATCTTTCCCGCAGGGATTGAAATCTGACTGCGGATCTGTTACGTAATGAGGGATCTTGCACAGTCTCCCCCTTCTCTCGTTGTGATATGTCTCAATCCTGAAGGTCTCGCTCTCGAAGTTTGGCACTATTCCGGTTATCATTTTCCATGTGTACAGAATGACATACCTCTCCCGTCTCTTCTGCAGTGAGTACAGTCCCAGGCGCTCGAGCCTCCTTCATCCCTCTGATCCTGGAAGTGAAGGTTCGCAGGACACCTTCCAGTTGCCGCACTCCAGCATGGTCAGGATTTGGTGGTGATGCTCCAGTAACTGAGACAAACAGGAACGATTTCGTCTAAAACCGTGTTGCCTTCTGTTGAAAAGGTCAGCGTCTTCCATGTACTGCACCAACCTTCTGGCAACAACCTTTTCAAATACTTTGATTACGTGTGATGTCAATGTAACCGGCCTGTAATTTTGGGGTTTGTCTCATTCACCTCTTTGTAGATAGGGGTAATTAGCCCTAATTTTAGGTCACTTGGAACATTTCCTTCACTCAATGATGTTTTCCAGAGCAAAGTCAGAGAGACCTTTAGTGCACCGACACATTTTTTCAGTAATACTGCAGGGAGCATAACCCACAACCCACCTGTGAGTGGGTAGTGTGGGTGGGGCGCACATCATACCCCATCACTGCATCGCTCCCATCATCACACCCTCATCACTACACCCACCCCACATCACCCCCTCACCACACCCACCCTCATCATACCCTCATCATTACACCACCCCTACATCACACCCTCATCATCACAATCGCCCACATCACCCCCCCCCCAGGGACCTGAGTTACAATGAGCTGCACGGGGCCCCGCTCTCGGTAGCCGCGCTGCCGCGGCTGCAGCATCTCGACGTCTCGCACAACAGACTCTCCCTGCTGCCTCTGGCGCTGCTCAACGCTGCACCTAACCTCAGATCTCTGTTAGTACCTTACTTCTTAATGATTTTTAATCAATTTTAATTAATTTTGTCCTATTATTAATTAATTGTTTCTTGTTGATAACTATCTGGTAGTATCAGTTAAGCAGCGCCTCTGGCGCTGCTTAACGCTGCACCTAACCTCAAATCTCTGTTAGTACCTAACTTCTTAATGATTAATTAATCAATTTTAATTAATTTTGTCCTATTATTAATTAATTGTATCTTATTAATGACTCTTTGGTAGTGTCAGCACCTCTCTTGTTAATAACTCTCTGGTAGTTTCAGTACCTCTCTTGTTAATAACTCTCTGGTAGTTTCAGTACCTCTCTTGTTAATAACTCTCTGGTAGTGTCAGTACCTCTCTTGTTATTTATGTTTTTATGCTTGAATAATTTGGCAGTTTTTCCAAGTGGTGATTTGGCTTGCCTGTAACATGTGAGGGCAGAATTATTGAGCAATCAATCCTACTTTAGGTTTTGGTGCTGTAAGCAATCTAGTTGTAAATCCATGTTGTTCTTCATTTATTAATTATATACAATGAATTAATGGATATTGTTGCATAGCAGGACGATATTTGTGGGGTCATTTAGCTGGTTTAGCATTTCCCTATTAATTGTAATATTGTTCATGAAATTTTTGGCAGTACTAGGTTAACTAATGCTGAATAAATTAATTTTATTTTAGCATCTAGGACTAATTTTTTGGTGTTAGTTATACACAATTCTCGTCTAAAGTTTACCTGCTAGAAGTTTTTTACAATGAATCCTGAGCAACTTATCTTATTGCATAGTATCTTAAATTTTCAATGACGCATCTAGGGAAGTATTTTCATCAAAAAATCACATAAAATGCTGTATTTGCTCGAACATTCGAAATTTATGTTAATGATAGAATGACATATAAAGACTTTATGGACACATGAAGGTAGCATAAATTTCCACACCACCATCGTGGGAAAAGTGAGACATATATGAGAATTGGATGAGTTCTGCGACTTTGCGTAATTGAAACACGATCGAAACCTGCATAGAGGAATATTCCATCTTTAGAAGTTTAATTAATGCCCTTTTGGGCTAAAATTAAAACGGGCATTCTCGTTTTTGCTTCAATTCATACTTCCATTATATATTTAAGTTGTCACTTGAATCGCAGATATCCAAATTCGATGCCTCGAAGTTACTATAACTTACACCGATGAGATTAGGCAAATTGATTACAGAACTGGGGCCATACTTTCAAAACTCGCTACGTTAGCGTAAGTACTTACGCTCTATTTTCTTGTATATGATTGGTGGACTTTGCTTGAAAGGCCGTCAATGATTGGCTGATGAACTTACGATCTCTTAACTTTTTTCGAAAGTATGGGCCCTGTTACAGAATGAACTACCTTAAGATGGTCGCTGTGTTTGGGTTCTGTTTTGGTTCTAGCACTGTAACGATAATTATAGTCGAACCTGCTGCTGCCCATAGTAATGATAAACATGGCTTTAAATATATATTATTTGTTTGTAGGTAAATTGTTATTGGCGACGAATTTTTTTAAATGGCATAAAATGTTCATACGAGTTTAGTCACCAGAAAGGATTTTGTTTCAACCGAGTCTAAATATAATTGTTCTATATGTCTTTTAAATTTGTACATTATGCCGTTGGAAATTAATTAGTCATCTCTTTTTAAAAGTCCTAATCAAAAATTTTAACACGTCGATTGTGATGTCAACATAGCGTCATGTGAAGTGCACATCCAACGTAACACGATGGAAAGCGTTGACGAATAGTTTTTTGGTTTGTATTTACGTAATTTATAACCAGAAAAGACATTAAGCGTTCCATTTTTCAACCTTAATTGGAACTGAAATGTTTCAAAGTTTTTTGGTTGTTTGCTGATACTCCACCAATTTTGAATACTAATCGGTTTAGGACAAAATTGCTGAAAGGCCCGCATTCCCTATTATTTATTTAATGCTAAAATAGTTACTTTACGCTTGAAATGACTTAGGACCATAGCATTCTTTCCAAGCACTACAAATATATTGTTATAAATGGTCGATTTGAATAGATAGATTGCCATATTAGCAAATAGCAATTTAAAAGGCTTTAAAAAACTCTCTTTTTGTACTCGGGTTATTTTCACAAAATTTCTTTTTGAGAACATTAATTTCAAGGCATTTGCATTACTCGTCGTTCACTTCGCTCTCTTGCGAAGTCGTACGTCTGTCGTGGATCTTATTTTCTTGAATCTATTTCTGCGTTGTCAATCTTTGTGAAAATCTACGCCCCATTGATTTTCCTTTATATTTTTCAGTTATCATTCGCCATATCTCGTTGAACATTACCGTTGCACATTGTTGCTCCGAATTGTGACTGTTATTATTTTACTGCTCAATCCTTTTCTGTTTACATTTTCGTTCTCAATTCATTTATTTGTCGAATTTTTCAGCCGGTAATTTTTTGTTTTCTTTATATTTCACTCCATTCTGTTGCTTCTACTGCTATGTATCTCTTTTTGTCGTATCATCTTTCAATGTTTCACTTGCAGTTTCATTGTGTTTCAAATTAATATTTCTCTTACATGTTTCCACATTATTTTCATAGTACTTACAGATGTTCATGGGAGTAAAAATTTTCGTCTTTTTGCCATTCAGTTTTTCATTATTCGAGTTCTTCGCTTCATTTTTTTTCTTTTGTGATACCGAAACCATCTTCCTTTTCAAGTTTAGTATGAGAAGAATGAACCTACATTCATTCTATCATTTTTATTATTATTATGTTTAATTATAATTACCGGCCCATTTTTACTATGATTTCTGAACATACTCACCTTATCCCGTTTTTTTAAGTCTTCTCATTCAAGTGACCTCTTCACCCAAATCTTATCCATGTCGATTAATTCTCATTTTTCTGATTGCGTCCTTCAATGCATTTATTAAATACCAGACATTGAGTGTGTTTAATGAATTTTTTGAGTGTGTGCATTTACTTCATTCCTGAACATGAATGCCTGTATTTGATCCCCAAAAGTACGAATTTGTTTGATCCCCGAACTTTAATACTTATGTCTAATTTTCAAAACTTGAATGCAGTTCTTCAATTCCCAAAACTAAATGCATTTTTCGAATTCCCAAACTTGATTGCACTTCACTAATTCCACACATCTTCCAGTTTCACTTTCGTCCCGTAATAGTTGAATTCCAACGGTTCAGCCCCCAACTGTCTTGTCCCCATGTCCTTTACTTTTCCTCCCTGAAATCCTGAAATTTTCATTTTAAATTTTACAAAATTTCCCCCGACGCTGTCCCGTTTCGTCCAGCGCATAAGTCAACGTCTCGTATTGTCACTGAAGACATCACCTTTTATTCCATTCTCAAGTCCACGACTGTCCCCACTTGCAGGGACGCGTCCCACAATATGCTGAGCAGCTTTCTGTCCCGAGGGTTGCGTAAACTGCGTAGTCTGAGAACGCTGTGAGTCACCGTCCGTGACCTCAAGTTTTCGTTGACGAGAAAATGCGCTCTCTGTCACTCACTGCAGTGAGTACTGAGTTATATTTTTTTAATGTACAGGCCTTTTTTTACTATGATTTCTGAACAAACCCACCTTATCCAGTTTTTAAATTTCTCATTCAACTAACCTCTTCACCCAAATCTTATACATGTCTGCCAATTCTCATTATTCTGATTGCATCCTTCAATGCATTTTTTAAATGCTCGAACTTGAATGCGTTTAGTAAATTTTTTGAATGTATGCATTCACTTCATTACTGAACATGAATGCTTGTATTTAATCCCCAAAAGGTGCGAATATGTTTCATCCCCGAACTTAAATACTTATGTCTAATTCCCAAAACTTGAATGCAGTTCTTCAATTCCCAAAACTAATGCATTTATCGAATTCCCAAACTTTTTGCATTTGTAGAATTCCTAAACTTGAATGCACTTCACTAATTCCATTCATCTTCCAGATTCACTTTCGTCCCGTAATAGTTGAATTCCAACGCTTCAGCCCTCGTGTCCCCAACTGTCCTGTCCCCTTTTCCTTTACTGTCCCTCCCTGAGATCCTGAAATTGTCATTTTAAATTTCACTCAATTTCCCCTCAAGTCCCGTTTTGTCCAGCGTATAAGTCAACGTCTCGTATTGTCACTGAAGACATCACCTTTTATTCCATCTTCAAGTCCATGACTGTCCTGTTCCCATTTCCCTTACTGCCCCTCTCTGAAATCCTTAAATTGTCATTTTAAATTTCACTCAATTTCCCGTCAAGTCCCGTTTTGTCCAGCGCATAAGTCAACGTCTCGTATTGTCACTGAAGACATCACCTTTTACTCCATCCTCAAGTACACGACTGTCCCACTTGCAGGGACGCGTCCCACAATATGCTGAGCAGCTTTCTGTCCCGAGGGTTGCGTAAACTGCGTAGTCTGAGAACGCTGTGAGTCTTGCTGCATGGGCACCTTGTGTCGAATTGTTGCTGCTGTGTCGTCACTGGGACCTAATGCTTGCAGTTGTTCATTAATCTCAAAGTTTGTGATTTGAGTTAAAATTAATCATTTAACTAATAAAAGAACGTATCTTTACATGAACCTTGCCGACATAAAAGACGTTATGAGTGAACATTTTATTGTGGGTTTTAAACAGACACCAGGTATTGCGCGTACAAATTTCGATAATTTTGGACCTTCAAAGGGACTGAATAACTAAATTGCATTCGCGCATGCCATCCAATTTGACTCTTACATACCGCCACTATCACAATATTTTACTATTCATCGGGAAGTTTTGAAGAAAAAACCTAACTTCTATTGTTTTGAAAATAAGTTACTTACTTATATTCTGTCGTTTGCTCTTGAAGCATTTAATTTTGGGTTGCAATTGCCCATTGGGTGCACTGTTTCTATCTGCAATTTTATTGTAATGCTAATGATTGTTCTCTGTTAGACGTTAAAAAATGGCTTCATGTTTTTAAACGCTGACCAAGAATTACATCGAGAGGCTGATCTTCGTAGCCAACTTTATTTTCCTCCTTTCACTTTACTAGGCTACATATCCATTATTGAACACTTTCCATAAACTGAACACTACCAGACATTGTCGCGTTGCCGGTCATGCATTCCTGCATTGGCGGGTTGTGGTCCATTATTCGTTGTGCTTTGGCTGTCTTAATTACGGATCTTGTTCGCTCTTTAATTTGTATTGTCTGTTCTTTCTTTCCTCTAAATCGTTCCTTTATAAGAATGACTTCTAATTTCTTATACAATGTTCTTGTTGATATGTTTGTGCAAGGCGTGACTAAAACATTCTAACCAAGTAACTGAATTGCAGAGCTCAACATACACTCATGCAAACAATTCACCAAAGATTTCTCGTAACATGTTTGAATAAATCTACTACTCAACTATATTCTCCACAAACTACCGCCAGTGCGTGGAAAAATACTGTTAACAAAATATTTCATTGAACATTCATGTGGTGAAATTTTACTGTTTGTTTCATTTATATCCGTACTTCAATAATCCGTTTAATCTAAAATTACTTGAAAGAACGTATATCTATTTAAATAGTTGCAGTTCAGATTGAAATGACGTCAACCGATGCTAATGTTAATATTTTTCTTTAACAAAAAGAAACTAAAATATTGTTCTCTGGAATGTAATTTCTGTTTTCTGTCAGTAACATCATGTTGGATATTTTTTGGTGTTCACACAGCTGGAAACGTGGTTACGTGTGTGGTTTAGTAAGGGAAGTACGTGGTGTAAAGTGGTTACGTGTGTGGTTTACTAAAATAAAATATTGTACGAGTGAAAAAGAAATATTCCACAGCTTATATTTCACGTGTATTAATATGTTTTTATTGTATGCTTCAAATTTCGGCGTTGAATCTTTCTTCGACAATTTTTTTCCATTTAATCTCAAAATTTATTTTAATCAATCAAAAAGTTTTTTTCTTAGTTAGAAATTGGTAAAATTCGGTCTTGTCATTCATATTTTCAAACTGTGGTTTGTGTCGATTTTTTTTAGTGACTTGTCAAAATTTTGTCGATTCTAGAAAAACTACGGAACGAGTGTCTCGTTTGACAAATTTTCAAATTTGGTCTTATTTTGCTATACACACAAAAACCCAAACCCATGAAAGAAAATTAACTACATCTTTTTTAGAATAATATTCATTTGTATCGTAATATCTAAAACTAATTAAGAATTGATTCATTTAAGGCTCAAATAATTAAATACCTGTTTTTTTAACAGGGTGCTGTCCAATAACCACATCTCGTGTGTATCCGAACGCATCGTGCAGAAGCTACCCAACCTACAGAGACTGTGAGTAGTCCAACCCTGTACATTTATGAGGATATTGTCTATGGATATTACGTTAAATTAATCCCATTGCCACACGAGAAACTTAGATCGAGACATGCCATCAAGCGAAACAAAATTGCTGCAGCCGACGATGGTTATTCTGTTGTACTCTATCGCTGCTTTATCATTTGCTATTTTATCTAAAATTAGGGCATATGAGATTAGAAATAGTTATTAATTCTATTTTAACTGAGCTAAGATATTTCATTCCCATATTTTCACTTTTTAAATGGTTTTATTTTAATACATGCACGCCCTGAAATTCCTTAGATTCAAAACAAATTTTATCTTGAATTCATTTGCATAAAATTATGACTTCAATGAAAACCTCTTAATTCCTTAGCCGTTATAACATTTTAATACTGATAATTTACTTGGTAACGCGTTTTCTTTTATTCCTAACGTCATAAAGTTTTTTTCAACGAATTCAACTGTTCAGTATAGGTCACTTGTTGATGCTGGTCAAATTTGATCTAACTGTTTCTGTACATTCATTTTGTGCAAATATTAACCCTTATCCAGAGTCCTGAACTTTCAAACATTTTGTTGGTTTTCTCCCATTTCAAACAAATGTGTTCTCAAGATATCCTAAATATTTGCCATCTTGTCATGTCACTTAGGAGATTAACTCTCCCAAAAGAATGTACTTCTGCCCAGAATACTCTGAAAAGTTGGATGAACACTGAAATATTTTTTTAAAATACTGTAACGTTGGATGAATACTGAAATACTTTTTAGAATACTGAACAGTTGGATGAATATTGAAAAACGTCTCTGAATAATGAAAAATTGAACGTGGATACATAAGCTTGTTGGTCTCCAGAACTATCGCGATGCGGCTCGCAGGAAGTTTTCTGTCCGTATTAAAAGAAGTTTAATAAGTATCCTTATTTTTTTTTTCAAATTGAAGAAGTACAAACACGAATGTGAAACGGAAGCTTTTATGCCTTGAACTTCTATCCTTACTAAATGAAACTGATTTTCAGTTCTTGAAACTGAGACTTGAAACTCTCGTGAAACACCTCTTCGGCCGCCATCTTTCGTAAAAATGTCTCTCTGCAGAGAAAATCCGGTAACTTGCATAGATAAAGTTAACGAGCTGCGCTTCTGCCCAAAACTCTCCCCTAACTGCCCAATTTGAGACCGGCGTCTTGCTTGTGGCGCCTACAAATGTTGTGATTGCGAACTGCCTGCCATAGCCTTGGTTATTTTTCGTTGTTCACAACACAAGTTCCTGGAGTGCTTTTCTTACGCGCAATTGACCTCGGACTTTGTATCTACTTTAAATTTTTATCCTCAGTTTTTTAAGGCTTTGAATTCTTGAGCCTCTCGACGAGATTTTTGAGCTCGATTGTGTTGTGTTTAGCATGCATGCCATTGTTATGCCCTTGATAATTTTTTTTTTCATTTTTAACGTGGTTAGTATTTGATAATAATGCTAATATTGCTACGTCTTGGAATCTTGGTAAGGAATATATATATTTTTTAGGGTTTATCCTTAGAGAAATTCGGCTTCCCTTTACCCTTGAATTTCTGGTAAAGGTGTTCATTGCAGGTGTTACATCATACAAGCGCGACTCCTGCATATATTTAAGAGCTTCTTTTATTTCTATCGACTGTAATACTACACAAAAGGTACTGAAATGTTAGCTAAGTTCTCCATAGACTAAAACTGAAAATGGTCCTGACAGTGCATTGAAAAGGCGCTTGCGCTTTTCTTGCTGAAAAATTTCGTCTGCTTCCAGTAGCAAAAAAATCTCTGTATTAGGTTGATTAGATGTGAACATATAATCGGTTGGATGAGATGTCAACATAATTCAAAATTTATTTTAAGTTATAGGTACAGGCGGCAACTATTGCCACAATAACCCATGTCCTCCATAAAAACTATTCGTGTTACAACCCGTGATCATCAATAAAAGGAATAATATCGGCATTTATATATCCGATATTGAGTTTATATTAGTTATATTGTTTGTTTTTTGCAACACTGTGATCCGATCCATTGTGGATGCAATAGAATTTCGCATCACATACACGAATACTTACCATAAATAAGCGCAAATCTCTCGTGTAAAAAAAATAATTTCTACTGGAAAACAATTTATTGACTTTTTGAGACAGAATTATGGAGTCTCAGAATAACCAGGAATGTAAAGTTTACTGGTATAAATATTTCCGAATTGTCTTGACAATAGTCGGTATTTGAATATTTTTTCCCTTTCCCTTTATATTACTTATTTATGGCAAAAAAACTTATTATTAATAAGTTTTTAATTTGATTTGCATAAAGATTATTTTGATTCACTCTTACTAATCTTGATGAAAAAAACATGCGTGTAATAAAAGCAAGATATATGCGTTGTAAAGTGCATTGACATTGCATTTACTGGAATATAACCAAGATATATGCGTTAATATACTGCATAGACATTGCATTTCCTGAAATATAACCAAGATATATGCGTTAATATACTGCATATGTCTCTTATACACATCTAGATGTGTATAAGAGACAGCCTACAGAGACTGTGAGTAGTCCAACCCTGTACATTTATGAGGATATTGTTCATAGATATTACGTTAAACTAATCCCATTGCCACGCGTAAAACTTAATAGATCGATATATGCCATCAAGCGAAACAAAATTGCTGCAGCCGACGATGGTTATTCTGTTGTACTCTATCGCTGCTTTATCATTTGCTATTTTATCTAAAATTAGGGCATATGAGATTAGAAATAGTTATTAATTCTATTTTAACTGAGCTAAGATATTTCATTCCCATATTTTCACTTTTTAAATGGTTTTATTTTAATACATGCACGCCCTGAAATTCCTTAGATTCAAAACAAATTTTATCTTGAATTCATTTGCATAAAATTATGACTTCAATGAAAACCTCTTAATTCCTTAGCCGTTATAACATTTTAATACTGATAATTTACTTGGTAACGCGTTTTCTTTTATTCCTAACGTCATAAAGTTTTTTTCAACGAATTCAACTGTTCAGTATAGGTCACTTGTTGATGCTGGTCAAATTTGATCTAACTGTTTCTGTACATTCATTTTGTGCAAATATTAACCCTTATCCAGAGTCCTGAACTTTCAAACATTTTGTTGGTTTTCTCCCATTTCAAACAAATGTGTTCTCAAGATATCCTAAATATTTGCCATCTTGTCATGTCACTTAGGAGATTAACTCTCCCAAAAGAATGTACTTCTGCCCAGAATACTCTGAAAAGTTGGATGAACACTGAAATATTTTTTTAAAATACTGTAACGTTGGATGAATACTGAAATACTTTTTAGAATACTGAACAGTTGGATGAATATTGAAAAACGTCTCTGAATAATGAAAAATTGAACGTGGATACATAAGCTTGTTGGTCTCCAGAACTATCGCGATGCGGCTCGCAGGAAGTTTTCTGTCCGTATTGAAGGAAGTTTAATAAGTATCCCTTATTTTTTCAAATTGAAGAAGTACAAACACGAATGTGAAACGGAAGCTTTTATGCCTTGAACTTCTATCCTTACTAAATGAAACTGATTTTTAGTTCTCGAAACACTCGTGAAACACCTCTTCGGCCGCAATCTTTCGTAAAAATGTCTCTCTGCAGAGAAAATCCGGTAACTTGCATAGATAAAGTTAACGAGCTGCGCTTCTGCCCAAAACTCTCCCCTAACTNGGGGGTGATGAGGGTGCTTGGGGTGATAGCGGGTGATGGAAGTGGTGATCGTGGTGGGTGCTAATTAAGTTAGTGAAAGATTATATTTCTGATGAATTGCATTTACAGTTGCCGTGAATTTTCTGGTAAATAATGAGATTTTTATGACGACAATATGATTGGACTCGTGATGCTTCAGAGAAAACATTCTTGTTTTTATTAATCAGATAAATAATTTTCGTGTTATTGATTGTCATATAATTTTTATAAGTGACACATGATAGAATTTTTTTCCAGCGATGATCCTGTTATCATTGTAGGTTGGGGTAATGATGAACGAATTCTTGATGTGCTCTGAACTGATTTCATTCGTTATTCGTGTCCTAAATTTTCTTTTTGTCATTCACTCGGTAGAGCCTCCCCATCCTAGCCCACCCCTCCATCCCCAACCAAGATTTAAGACTTAACCCGCGTAATCCCAAGTCCTAACCTCTGTCCGTTGAACATAACCATCATCTTTCTAAAATTATGCTTCATCCCCCACTCCTTAGCCCCCTTCCTTCTCTCCTCCTCCTAACAAGTCTCACTACCATGATCAAATTGATCATTGCTTACCTTTCCTTTATCACGCCTTCTTTTGATTATCCCTCACCATAAGTTATCTCTTTCCAATTATTAGCCCTTTCCCTTTTTACTTCCCCTTGTCATTAACACTTGTCAATCCCCTTGTTTCTTTCCCGTATCCCTTCCCCTGATCACCCTTCCCCTTCCCGCAGGTACCTGGACGTGAATGAGATCAAAGGCATCGACCCTGAGCGCATCCAGCACCTGAAGGCGCTCAAGAGGCTGTAAGTGTTCACGTTTAACATGGCCCTGAAATGTTCCCAACACTTCCTCAACAACACATCCCCAATATGTAAAAAAAACCATCACGTCAAAACACGTCACTGAAAAGCCCCCGACTTGTCCCCAATATGTAGGTACTTACTACTGTAAGTACATATTGTGTACTTACTAATGGAAGTTTATACAGAATATGTTTTTGTTCATGTTTTTGTTTCTTTTTATATATGACTGATAATTTTCTGTATTTTGTTCACCCAACTGCAGTTCAACGTAATTACGCGGTTACGTTGACGCAATCGCAACGAAAGCGATTACCTAGCCAATACAGATTTCCTCACTCAGTGTCGGCAAAGACTACAATTTATTGTTCCATCACCAAGTATTAACTAGAACTCATGATCGTCCGCTAAGTTGATGTTTGAGAACGGATATTTCTTGACGCCTTTATTGCTACAATAAAGACTGTTGCTGAAGGATCTTCATTCATCTCAATGATTGTCCTGAAGTGATTGTTGTTAATAACGAAAATTATTCATCTTGATTTCATTGTGTGACAAAATATATTTTCTAGCGACGATCTGGAGAAAACGTATTGTTCGTGATGCTTGGACAACGATATTGTCTCGTGTGAAGACCCTAAAGCAAATTGTTTTCAGTTTTGTTTGTTCGTCAAAATCAACTACTCGTTCTAGCCCGTTTTTTATGAATATTTTTTGTTTCCAGGGACCTGAGCAACAATCAGATCACTATTCTCTCCAACAAAACATTCGCTGAGCTCACCGAACTCTCCACTCTGTAAGTGTGCTAGCTTATTCTCAATAAACACCGAGTCAGAAATGTTATTTACTAATTTGCTGAAATATTTCTGAAAATATTTTGATTCAAAATACTTACAATTGATATTTCCAACGCTAAAGGATATTTCCAAAGCTTTAGGATTATCGCATGTACGAATAACCCTAAATCTCAAAAATACAGAAAGCTTTTCGATTTCAAATGTTTCGAAATTTTAGTAACTATTTCACCAACAGACTTGTTTGTCCCTTACTTTTCGATGGATACAAAATTACCCTTAATTAATTTAGTGGCCCAGCTCTTTACTTCTAAACTCTTACATTTTCTTCACGAATTACAACGAATTATTATATATTCAATCGGCAGGATCGTGTCGTTCAACAAGCTAGGCTGCGTGGAGCGCGACGCGCTGTACGGCCTGTCGTCTCTGCGCATCCTGTCGCTGCACGGCAACGACGTATCCTTCATCCCTGAGGGCACATTCCGCGACATCGCTTCAGACACACACGTGTGGGTACCCACTTGGCACTACCTCACATCACCAGTTTCCTTCGTTTTTTGTTCCTATAAATTAGTCATTTTCTTCTCATATCACTCTGTTTTTAGTTCCACTATCTTATTTTAGGATCTTTAAGTATTTACTGTATATTACCTTGTGCTTCGTACTACCGTATAATCATGTACGACCATCGTGTAATCAGACCATCATGTACGTTATACCATTCTGTACTTAGTGCTTCTCCCCTGTCCTCCATACCACCCTATACTTCATTCCACGTTGTACTTCATTCCACTCTGTTATCAATATTGAACCTCAGATCACGTTGTACTTCTCATTAATTACTATGTGAACAATTTTGCTTTGTTTTGATATTATCAAACATTCTGCCGCTATTTTTATACCAGATTTCATTTTGAAATTTTCGTGTACCTAAAATTTAATCAAAGTTATGTAGGTCAACGTCGTCTTGAGTAACTATCACCGGCATCTGAGAGAAGATTCATCTTTTCCATCCTTCTCTTACTTTACAGTTTACATTAACATTTTCCCCAAATCAGCTACCGTAACACACATCCACCACTCATGTTATGTATGTTGTGTACTGTGCTCATATAAATACGCTCGAACCTTCTTAAGAAAATAATTAATATTATTTTATCGTCGATTCGGCATAAATGTCGATACTTTTTAGTGTTTTGCCCTCGTTTGGTCTCCCTAGGTAACGTTTAAGAGCATTAAATCGGCATTGCTAGGGGTAAAAATTCATATTTATATTTAATATCTATTCTAGGCACAAATTCATCACTGTAATACTGCTAAGCCTGACTCCTGAGAACGCGGAAAAAGAGACATTCTGGGATTTCTATCTCATTTGTTACTTGTTAGTTAGAAATTGGCGTAGTCTCCCACATAATTATTGGAAATATATAACGGATAATAGAAAATTACATTTGGAGACCAACTTCTTTAAAAAAATCAATGACTCGGTTGAGCAAATGAATTTCGTATATGAAAAAAGTATCCTCTTTATTCGATTAGGAAGTTAGATTAACATGGACATGTTTTTCATTGAAATGAAATGGAGACCACAAGATGTGAACCTGTGACAAAAACAATACTGGTGTCCAAAAATGATGCAAAAGTGTCAGAGGCAGAATAGGCCCATGGCAACAGGCCATGGGCCTATTTCTTCAACGCCGACACTTCTATTCTATTCTATCCCAGAAAATTCGGTACTTATGTGATTACTTTGACACTTGTATATTAAGACCTTCATTGATTAATTAATAACATACACATACAAGGAAGCGAGGTCACCGAGAGAACACTTACAACTATCTATAATCTGTGACTCGAGCTCCCCTGGGAAGCTGAAGGATTGTAGCCCCATCATTCACTGTATTTCATATTTCATCATTCATTTATCCACCGCGGCTGCTTAACGCAATCTGCAAACTTGCGTAGAATTGCAATGAGGCTCGTAACTGTTGCTATGATACGTGACTAAATTTTGCATTGCTGGCTCAATTATTTCGTGTTTCAGTTTGAGCAAAATAAAATTTTGAGGTTGTCGAGGTATCGAATTATTATTTTTGATCTTTCTAGACTGACAAAATTGTGGTAGGTTATCAATTTTATTCCATTTTAGATTGTGAGTAAAATTCTTCATATATCGATGCTAACGAACTATTTGGTCAAATTTAGATCGAAACTCAGGGTTTAGTTTATCCGGTATTCAAGCTACTGCGTGCAGCGAGATAAAGCAGCCACTGGTGCTGAACTTAATTCTTTGGTCAATAGCTACGCGCCTTATTAATCTGAAATATTTTCGACGCGCTAAGTGAGCTAAAAGACCTCAAGCTGTTCAACAGTGCATGAATTAAGCCGAAAGTAAACTAGCACGAAAGAGGAGAATAATTCACTGGAAGAAGCTCAACCTCATTGCTTGAGATTGACGGGGTGGCTGCGGGTTTTTTATATCGGTTGTTGCGTAGCTAACTTCAGCAACGCTTGTGGAGACTCGACTTGAAATAATTCGAAGATCTGGTGGCATTACAAGCCACCCATCGCCGTCATGTTTAACTACTACGTTATGAACCAATACGGCGACGCCTCGGACTAAAACTACTTCGTCAAGAACCAGTACCAGAATGCATTCGTTCAGCAGCAGCCTTAGATGTGCATTGAAGATCTCCCTCCTACCGACGTCAGTTTCCCTGGACACCATCACCACCATGTGCAGCCTCCCCCTGGCCCTCCGCCAATGATGTAAAATNTTAATAATTAGTAATTGATTTTTGCACAAAAGTGTCTGGATGAAAAGTTAATTGCGTCTCTTGATATGTATTAACTTTCTAGTGCAGCCGATTACGTAGGTAACACTTGTTAAGAATGGTATTTTAAATTCAGCTGGCTTTATTTAATTATTTTTATTATTAAATTTATATCATCGAATTAATAATAATAAAAGACTATTTTACATCCTCAATGTTTAAGTTTTTCTTCCTTCTTTGATCTGTTGTGTTGCCTTGAAAACTGAAAATTATCCCTAAACCAGGAAAACTTATGGAATCGGTGATGGTGATGAATTTTTCGTTTAATTAATTAAACTAAAAACGGGAATTAATTAAAAATTAATTCCCCTTTTTGTTGGAATGGTGAGTGTGGGAGGCATTTAAAAAAATTTACGTTTGAATTTTGATCAATTACACTGATTTATCCAATTATTATGCGTCCGGCTGGCCTCTTCGGTCGTTACTGT